GCGCCAATGGTTGGGTATTTATTGCTTGAACATGTTTTTATTTTTGTCAAAAGTCACTTATTTTTCTATTTTCCACCTTGTTTAATGCAGCAGAAACACAGCATTAGATCTGGTCCTTACAAGAAAAGTTTGCAAAAAATAAAAAATAAAAATGCTTCTCAGCTTCCTTTGTCTTCTGAAGTTGTCACATTTTGAATCATATTCCTAGCTCAGGCATCGCACTGAGCATGCACTTAACCCACCTAGGAGGATAATTATCTCAACCAGGAGTTGTTCTATTCCTTAAAATCTCAATGTAGGAGTGTGTGATGGGCTTGGTTTTCCCAGCCGGGTAAAGCAGCGTGTGCTTGTTTATCCTCAGCCTGCGATCTCTGCACTCCCACTGCTCTGAATGGCAATATTACCTCCTGGTGCTGTTGGAAATGGAGACAATTATCTGTTTAGATATTACAAGATGGGCGTTTATATTACCAGAAGAAAAAGCATAGAGCTGCTACCTGGATTCTGTTGTTGCCTTTTTTCTCACTAATTCTACTGTTCCATCATTAAAATGATGGAACATTTATCTAAATGGATGTTATGCATTGGGTAAACTCATTTAGCTCCCGGGGCTCTTTCAGGTGATGGGAATTAATGATGTTTGGTAGTTTGAAGCCAAAAATACCTGTCATTTGTCACCACTCGCCATTGATTTACGGTTCCATTGATGATATGTTAATTGAAGTGTAATGAATCACAATAATAGGGTAGTTATGTGGGAATGGTCCATTTCTGCAGATTGTTCCAGACTTAGTAGAGTTCTCAGTGAGCTATGTATTGACTCATGTTTTCAACATGACCCATAGTTGAAAGTGCTAGTCATGAATGTGAGCGTTTCTTTCAATCAAAATTAAAGCTGCAGTATGTAACTTTCATAAAATTATTTTTACATATTTGTTGAAACTGTCATTATGTCAAGACGGTATGCTTTGAGACAGATAATCTGTGAAAAATTCTATGTCCTCTGCCTTCTTCCAGTACTACCTAGAAACAACTAATCAGAGCCCGACCCCCTTAAATCTGGTTCTATTGTACTTCGGCCCTGGAGGTTTTGCATTCAGTGGAGTATGACGTTGAAGGTGGATGAGACTGTCTTGTTAATAAAATTCCTGTTAAGATTCCCCAGAAACCGTGGGGCAGTTTTACTCTTGGTTTTCCTGTCCTGTTGATTCTGAAGCATTTACCTCAGTTTTACCGTAAGCTAAAAATAATTCTCATCCGAGTGTTCTTTCTGAGCTGAACTTGTGCTTGGTCCTGCTGAACTACCACTGCGGCTTGTGGGATTTCCTCTACTGGAGCGACATGAGACACGAGAATCCCCTTGTTCACCATCTTGTCAACTTCTGATCGATTCATTTGGAAGAATGTTATTTACATTTACTGTTAATCTTTGGCCGAAGTGATTCTTGTAATCCCAGTGTAGCATAGATTCATCCTCTAGATCAACTTTAAAATCCTGAGATATTTGATTATGTACAACCGATGCAGACCAGGAAGTTGTGAGATTATATATTCAGGCTACCACAGATGAATAGCCCATAATTTAGGTGCAATCATTTTATTTGATCATTTATATGCAGTTAATCAGACCACAGTCAACATGTGTTTTTTTTTTTTTCACTGCAGGAAAAAGTTACATTTATTACTAACTGTAGACTGGTAAACAGCTGCTGCTCTGAGGCCATGTAACTTATAACAGTGAAATGTTGATGCTTTTCTAACCACGGGAGTTTATTGCAGTTTTGTTACCATTGTTTACATCCCGCTGTGTGCTAATGGCAATGAAGAATTGAGGACACCTCTTTTGCAAGCAAACCAAGAGGTTTGCAAGCGGAGATTTGATCCAAGCAGAGACAAGTTTTGAGCACAAGGACAAAGGTTTGAGAAAGAACAGTGAATATTTGAAAGAGCAGAAGTTTTGAGTACAAGCATTACAAGTTTTAAGAAGACAGACATGAATCCTGCTTTCAAACCGAAAATGTGTGCTCTTGAATTATGGCAGAAAAATTCCCCCCCATACAGTTTAGTGAGACTTAAGTAACGCATAAAACCATAATTTAAATAAGAATAGGTATTGCATTCCAGGGTGTGTTTATTTTATTAATTGTATTAATCTGGGACCAAAGTCTGAATTTCATTCCACAAACAAGCAAAGCTGATATGAGAATAAAAGATCCTAGAATCTTGTATTTCCTTGAGAAAGTAATTATTTAATTACCTTAATTTTAAGATTATGAAATTCTTTCAAATCTAGTATTCTTGAAAATCTTTGAAAGTTCAGACATATTGAATAGACAGCTTTGGTGTAATACATTGGGGTTTTTTTATCTCCTGAAAGTCTTGCTCTCTATCGCTTCTTCACAGCCCAAATAACTTACAGATATCTCTTGAGGAAACAGTTTCTTTTAAATAGCTTTATGTAGTCTCTGTGCTGACTTCATTTAAGCATCGCACTGATGCTGGAAAAAAAAGATTTCATTAATGGCAAAATCTACTGTTAAATAGATTTTATCGAACAGTAGATAATATCTGTCTGGTAGCATAGATACGCTACCAGACAGATACAGTGAGTATGGAAAGTAGACCCACTTAAAATTTCAGTCTGTTTCATTGCAGCCATTTGCTAAATAAATAAGTTCATATTATTTCTCATGGCTGTACACTCAGCATCCCATATTCACAGCATAAACAGAATTGTGGAAATTTTTGCACATTAAAAAAGAGAAAGTGAAATATCACATTGTCATATGTGTGACTATGTGAAATCGCTCAGGGTTTAGTAGAAGCACCTTTGAGCTGAGACAGCCACGAGTCTTCTTGGGGATGATGCAACAGGTTTTTCACACTTGGATTTGGGGATGCTCTGCCATTCTTCCTTCAAATCCTCTCCAGTTCCATCAGGTTGGACGGTGAACTTTGGTGGAGCCAGTTTCAGGTCTCTCCAGAGATGGTCAACTGGGTTTCAGTCTGGGCTCCGGCTGGGCCAGTCAAGAATGGTCACAGAGTTGTTCCGAAGCCACTCCTTTGTTATTTTAGTTGTGTGCTTCGGGTCATCGTCTTGTTGGAAGGTGAACCTTCAGCCTGATCTGAGGTCCTGAGTTCTCTGGAAGAGGTTTTCTTGAAGGATATCTCTGACTTGGCCACATTCATCTTTCCTTCAATTGCAACCAGTCGTCCTGTCCCTGTAGCTGAAAAATACCCTCATAGCATAATGCTGCCACCACCATGTTTCACTGTTGGTATTATATTGGGCAGGTGATGAGCAGTGACTGGTTTTCTCCACACATACCACTTAGAATCACCACCAAAAAGTTCAACATTCATCTCAGCAGACCAGAGAATCTTATTTCTCAGTGGGAGTCTTTCTTGTGTTATCTGGCTAACTCAATACAAGCTTTCATATGTCTTGCACTGAGGAGAGGCTTCCATTGGACAACTCTGCCATGAAGCTGGTGGAGGCATGCCTAGGTGGGCCCCATGTGGGGGAAAGGAGGGCTGATATATGGGTCCCATATGGGTTTGTCCGCGGGTTCCACGATGGCCCCACATGGGTTTGCCCATGTAGGGCCACAGCCCACATGGGCTCTACATGGGCCCTAAATGGACAAACCCATGTGGGCCACCACCATATAGGGCCCATGTAGCGCCCATGTGGGCTGTGGCCCTACATGGACAAACCCATGTGGGGCCATCGTGGAACCCGCGGACAAACCCATATGGGACCCATATGGCCTGCCCTCCTTTTCCCCACATGGGGCCCACCTAGGCATGCTGGCAGGGGGGCTGCAGTGATAGTTGACTTTGTGGAACTTTCTCCTATCTTGATCTTGGGGTTCTTCTCATTAAGGCTCGTCTCTCACAATTGCTCAGGACAGCCAGGTCTAGGAAGAGTTCTGGTCGTCCCAAACTTCTTCCATTTAAGGATTATGGAGGCCACTGTGCTCTTAGGAACCTTGAGTGCTGCAACCTAACCTTGGCCTGATCTGTGCCTTACCTTACCTTCTTTCTCTGAGCTCCTCAGGCAGTTCCTTCCACCTCATGATTCTCATTTGCTCTGACATGAACTGTGAGCTGTGAGGCCTTATATAGACAGATGTGTGCCTTTCCTAATCAAGTCCACTCAGGTTAATTAAACACAGCTGGACTCTAATGAAGCAGTAGAACCATCTCAATGAGGATCAGAGGAAACAGACAGCACATATGAATATAGATATGAATGCCACAGCAAAGGGACTGAATATGTATGACCATGTCATATTTTAGTATTTCTTTTTTAATGAATTTGTAAAAATGTCTAAATTTTATTTTTTCTGTCAAGATGGGATGCTGATTGTACATTCATAAAAAATATGATTTTATTGATTTTTGCAAACAGCTGCAATAAAACCAAGAATGAAAAATTTAAAGGGGTCTAAATATTTTCTGCACCCATTGCGTCTATTCCTGGTTGTATATGTTTTCATAGCTGATTGCAAAAGATTTGTTCTTCGAGTTTCTCACCAGCTAATCATGGCTGATCAGGTTGAAAATTCCACCAACTGCTGATTTTTTTTTCTATATTTAGATTTATTTGTTCAAATTTTCTAATATTCATGTAGTTTTATGTTGTTCTCTAGGTAACACACTGCACCTGATGGGAGTCTGATGGATTTTACAGAACAGTCAACCTGTTAGCTTTAAACTAGAACTGGACAGTGTGTGCTGTGGTATTTCTATTATTATTAACCTCACTTTACTCTTGTCTTAGATAAACACTGGGGCAAAACGCTTGGCCACAATTTTGACTGTCAAATTTAAACGGCCAAAAGAACAGTGAGAGAGAGGGTTTTTTTTCTCTTACATATTTGGATATGCTTTAATGCCTTTATTCAAATTCACCTGTTATAGAGCCCCAGAGTCACTTTTAGGTTTACCATAAAAATAAGATTTTGTTTCCTTCTCTCTTTTTTTTTGTATTTCATTTCCTGGGTTGAGTGCTCCTTTTCGGGAAGCTTGGTGCATGCAGATCAGGACCAGCCCAAGGAAGTTGAGCTAGGGTAGAGCAGGTAAAGATACAGGGTGTTTACCAGCACTAGTTGGGGGATGAGGGGAGGAGTGGGGCGACAAAGGAGCATCCACTAATGTGAATGGTTTTTGTCTTGCAAATAAACCACTCAGTCACAGACTGGGCTCATTGTTCACATGTTATCTTCAGTGGGTGTGTAGTTTTAGTTAACTGACAGATGGGAATGTGAGGGATGCTGTAGCACTGGGACAGACCTCAGGTGGTAGTGCTCCCGCTCTTAGTGGCCGGTATAGAGTGGGGGAAAAGGCAAACAGCCCAGGAATGCAGAGGATAGAGTTGCGCTGATGATTTCTCAGAACATATCAGACAGGTTTGTACACGTCACACGGCCTGATCAATATCAACTGCTGGCCTCGTTGGGGACTGTTTTGCTTTTCCTGCGCTCGCTGTTTCTGCCTCTTAAGTCCTCTGACAACAAATATTATTGCCATTACTTATTTTCCCCAAATCTGGATAATTCTCTGTTATTTTTTTCCGCAGGGTGAGGAGGCGCTTTAGTACCGCTGGAACTGGAGATTGCTTTCAGTAAGCAAGTCTTTGTAAAAGGTAAACACACAATCATTCACTAGACTGCAGCTTTTGCACAAGTGTGTAAGAATACTTTATTGAATTGGCTTAATAATTAACTGAAACAGTGTATGTGTGTGGGTTTTTTTCTCATGTTTGTGGACTGTATTTTTGTGTGTATTTGTGGGTGGGTGAGTTGGGGAATCGAACATGTGCACCGTTGAGGGTACGGACAAGCCGCCGTTCTGAAGCCATCATGGTGAGCAGTGAAGGGACAGAGGTTAGTTACAAGAAGGGATTGCTTTGTAGCCGCAGCTAGCTTCTTTCTGCCGCTCTGGTCAGGTCTTCACACCCATCACCGCTTTTGTATGGGAACTTTAGATGATCCGCTGTGTTGCCATGAAAGATTGAGGGAAGTGATCTGTGTGACAGCGTTAATACTCAGAGACGCAGAGGATCGTGTTTTTCCTTCAGTTCAGTGTCACTATTTACACTGTGTTTTGGAATAATTGCTTCTGTTTTTGTAGCCATTTTTTTTGTTTACATTTGTTCTGAAATGTAGATTTGAACTGATTTGATATAGTTTAAATTTAAAAAGCCTGCAAAGAGATGCAAGCACATGCTGCTGAGTATAACTTTTAGGTACAACAAGACTGGTGTCAACTATTACTTGAAATTTAAGTAATAATTTTCTATAATTCCTAACCTTAGACCAAAAATACTTGGTAAGGTTTTGTGTTTTTGCAGTGTAATAAGCATGCAAAAGTACATGTGTATTTAAAAAGTGATACAAACAGTTGCTGACTCAAGCTCTTAAGAATATATCTAGAAAGAACTTCAAATCCAGTAAAACTCATTTTGTTTTCAGAATTGAACCATCTTTTTAAAACTGATATCTGAAATATATATATATATATATATATATATATATATAATCTGTGTATTGCTGTGTATTGCTTGATTCCAGTAACCACCTGATTCCTTGTGCAAACAAAGTTTTCTCTATATTTGCAGTATTTCCTTTTTTTCTGCTGCTCTCCTTATTAATATTGAAGTTCCTTTTGTCTGAGCCACTTTTTATGGAAGTGTTATGAATAAACAAACAGCTGGATGCTCAGAAAGGGCGCGTTCAGCTTTATACTGGTATGAAAAATAGGCCCTCTGTAATAGTTTCCCTCACTGCATTTATTGGTTACTTAAAAAAAAAAGTAATTTCTTTATATCAGCATCAAGCTGAAAATTGCCATGTATTAGAATTAGGCTTGGTAAGCCTCTAATTCTGTGGCATTTACAGCCGGCTGTGTTTCCATGCATTTATAACACTTTGATTCTTAAGAGCTCCTTTAATCACTTGTGAGTCGCTCGGAACATAATAAACAACTCGCTGTAGCAAAAGTGCCACATGGTCGGGGGGATTGAGGGAGAGAGGTTTCCAGCTAGAGAGTTAAACGCTTCTGTCACTGGCAGTTTAGTTGCTGTGTTTTTCATGCGCCGTAAGCACCATAATCTACTCTTTGAGCTTATCTGCCTTGGCTACAAACAGTGTCAGGCGGAATAGACGCGGGGCGGCGTGAAAATGAAAAATTATCATCCCCGTACGATCGTGTGACACAAAGTGACGCTGTTGCTTCTTCTAGCCTTTTTTCCCCTTTTGATTGAGATCACAGGATGTGTTTGAGGATTCTAAACACCCTCTCACCTGGCTGCCGTCTGCTGTCTGTATCTGATGCCGCGCTCCCACTGCTCGCATCAGCCACTATCAGGACGCTGCTCTGGCAGATCGCCCGGCTCGACTGTTGTTGTTTGACTTAAACAGGTTACACACTTTTAAATGCATTCCTACATGCTGAATACAGTATCTCGGCCAGAACTCCCTTGAAAAAGAGGTTTTTAATCTCAGTGGGTTTTTATCCTGGTAAAATGAAGGTTAAATAATAACAATTGAAAAAGTTACACAGCAGGGCAAGATTTTCTGTTGCACCTCTGATGAGGTGGATGGAAGTGAGCTGATAATGCTGTGATCTCAGATTATTTAAAATACCTTCAAGGAGGGGGAAAAACAAAACGTGTCAAGTTTCAATCTATTTTTCTATCAGTGACAAACAGGCACGTCTTCTCCTGGTCAGAAATGTATTGACACATTCATAGAGTGCGGTCTGGCTTTTGATAATGTCAGTCAGCTAGCAGATGCAGACAGTTGACATGCCAGAGCTGCAGCGTGAGATTGACCGAAGTGGCAAAAGTAAGCAAAAATCCATCTGCAGATGAGCTTTTTTTCAGCAAGATGAGAAGAATATCACAGAAGGAAAAGAAAAAAAAGTGATGAATTCCTTTTAGTTTTGCTTCAGTTCTGGGTTTGATTTTTTTTTGCCTTTGGAGTCAAATAACTGCACAGTGTTGCATATGTGTGTTTTTGTAGACACACACGCACCCCAGCACAACTTTCACTTGCAGCTTTAAAAAATAATACATTTAATACTTTTATACTCCGTCACCTTTTTTTAGGGTTTGTCTTTGTCTTGTTATGATAAAACTATTTTTGTTTGGATTTTATGCCAAAAAAAAGTTTACAAATAAAAATACATACAGATATTTGTATCCAGTCCTCCTGAGTTGATACTGCTGCTGCAGTCACAACTGAAAGTATATTATATACTGCAAAAATACAAAATATAGTTTTAGTCCCTTTTCTTTTCTCTTCTCTTAGTACACATGAAATGAGACAGAATTAACTCACAAGTAGCTTTTCAGCAAGATACAGAAAGCTGTTTTAAGTCAGTAATTTCTTAATATTAATAAAGCTCTATTTCCACAGGCAGAGATTTTCTGTCTTGTAAAAATGTCTTTTAATAAGTGAAATAATCTGCTAGTGGAACTAGTAGTTTTTAAAGTCTATGTTAAGGCATCATTGACTGAAGACAAGCTCTTATATGTATTCCTCAAAAGTTACTTTTGTCCACACAAGAAACTAGACCAAAAAATTACTTTGTAAGATTTTATGTTCTTGCGGTGTACAAAAGTATTACCACTGAGGTTTCTTGGTGTGTTGTGATGGGTTAAGGACATTTCTTATGAGTTGCAGCCATTCTGATTTGGGTCATTTGACTTTGTTGCAATTCTTTGCATGACATTCTAAATATCAGTGTGGGACTTATTTTTCCTTCTCTGTTTATTTTATAAAACAAATCCCTTTTTAAGAATAAGTTACCTGGTGACGGCTGCCCAATGGACTATGGCTTTCAGCCGTTCAAAAATAAACTGCTTGCATCTTTCACTGCAAGATTAAGAATGAGGCTGAGAGAGAGAGCAGGAGCTGGAGAGAAGTGGCTGAAGACCAAACAAAAGAAGTCAACGTGGAGTAGACATAAGAGGAAGAAGGCTGCTTTCTGCTTTACTGAACACAGTGAGGAATTATTCATTTTCACCTTTGTGCTAAGGTAAAAGTTTGTTTTTAATGGCCTGGCCTGTGAATCAGCTCTGGTAACTCGAAAGGAGAGACGAAAAAAGATAAACTTTGTTTTCAGCTGCACACACACAAACAGGCAGTCGTGGAAAAAAATGATAAGGCGAAGACAGTCTATGGAGTGAACAGTTAGGAAAACGAGGCATCAGTGAAACATTAAACCATTTGGAGGAGACATTTCTGGAAAAGAAGCTTGAGATGAAGTTGAATTGAATTTAAAGACAAAAGAATGGAATTAGCACCTATAAATCACTTCTTATTTTTGCAGAATTATAGTCTTTGATCGCAACATGTTTGTTGATTTGGGAAGGGGATGGCTGAAGTCATTTTTAGTCCCATTATGATGGCATATTAATAATGATGGTATATTTGTAAATTCCTCTTGTGAAATGAACCACCTATTGCAATACTTAACCTCTGCTTTAGGTAAACACTTTAAGATAAGAATTAGTCACAGAGATGGTGCTCTAATGCTGCTTTAAAGATTCTACTGCTTTTAGCTTTTTTTAATTTTTCTTTCACACTAAAAATATCAATGACAGTTTTCAAAGAAAAAAAATGTGACCTTTGCTTCATATTTCGCCCTCTTCTCTTCCTGGCCAGTTCCAATTTTTACTGTTAATAAAGAAAAATGAGCATAACTATTACTAAACAAAATATTTCTTGTAAAGTAAAGTTTGTCTGGCAACGTGCTGCTCACTGCAGAAAGTGCCAAGTATTCATGGTCTAGTATAGTGCAAATATTGCAATATATTTGAAATAACACAAAATTAACTTACAAGAAACCTTTCAGCAACATATTGCAGCTTGTTTTAAGTAAATAATTCCTTAACAATGGGAAAAAGTGCTAGTTTAATTGACAGATTGTTTCACTTTTTTCTCTTTTTTTCTTATTAGTGAAATAATCTGCCAGTGAAACTATACTTTTAAAACAAGCTCCTATATCTTGTACAAAAATTACTTGTAAGTTAGTTTTATTTTATTTCAAGTGTACTAAGATATTTGTACTAAAAATAGACCAAAAATACTTGGTAAGATTTTATGTTTTGTAGTATAATTGATTTAAGTGTGTAATTTCATCTGGTATAATTAAGTTCAAGCTAATAATGTGAGCCCGTTAATACAAGGGTTTTAAGTTTGATAATCTATTTAGAAATTCAGACTAATATTTGGAAGCGGGGAAAGAAGTGGTCCCCAAATTGCACTGGTGGAGGTCATAACTAAAGACGTTTTTTGTGAGGTGGGTAGTGAGTCTCCATTCCTTTTAAATTGTTCACTAGGCAGCAAACTGAGCAGTGGAAAATAATATATTTTGACAGACTAAAAGAAATTGAACAAATAATTTGGAAGCATTGTAAACCTACTGCAACAGGCTAACCTTTAGCCGCTAATGATCCTACAAGCTAGCCATAAGGGCTATTTCACAAAATTAATAGAAAATCCATAGCATATGGATAAGTTACACCATAACTGGATTATTCTATATTGGTCACATTTTTTAAAATAAAAAGTCTTAATTTCTCTTCATCTGTCATATAATAAATTATTTTGTTCATACCTAGAAAATACATCCTCC